ATGCAACAAATATTGACAAATAATCAATGTGGTGACAACATTCAACCTGAATTAACAGCAGGTTAGGTTTTCTAGGATGTTCGAATTGTAGTTTCAATATGAATACAACCACAGAACGACATATTTGTGTATGGACCAGGTGCTCTTATGGCAAATACCGCGCCAGTGCCAGCTATAGGAACAAGACGTGGAAAATGTTAGGTTAGTGAGCATATCAACAATGATGATAGTGATTATTTATTCCTCTCCATACTACACTGTGTTTGACTTTATAATCAAATGAAGCTAAACAATATCGTTGTTTGAGACAAAAAAACTATTGCTTGCCGTGATTATTCAAAAACAAGTTATCCATCCCGAGAATAACGAATGAAATACAGATCAAGCAAGTATTTGAATCTTGAAGGCTTCCCTGGTCAAAACAAAAATACTTAACTGATAATATATGTTTATGATTCCAATACTAAACTATAATAAGGTGTATTTATATCTCCAGCATGGGTATGAAATGCCAAATCTGCTGAAATCGGAAACAAATCAGGTATGCGTCTCGACCAAAATAACCAACCGTCACAATGTTGTTTATCCTTGATGACGTCCAGTAGATCCTTTTTAATTCCTAGGAGCTGAAGTTTAACTTAAGCTCCTAGGAACTAAAATTCAATTTTAGCTCCTAGGAACTAAATATGTTGCCTAGCAACATACCTATTTTTGTGTCAGTAATAGAAACGTCAATTTAAGAGCTAATTTCGGTATCAAAATGGACGACTTTTGTGTCGGTTGCAGAAAAAAACATATATTTGATATAGGTAATTCAGTAATTTCTGGAATTCACGTAATCCGAATATATAACTGCTGAACCTTTTTATACAAAATATCAACATTTCCGCAAACCACTAAGAATTCCAATTAGGAGTCAACAATTTTAATATCATATCCGTGTTTGATAAAATATAAAATGGTATGCCAGTTCAAAATTCTCCTGGATCCTGACTGGGATAAAAAACAAGTACAGTAATGAAATTGATGACGGGAATTTTCCAGGAATTTCCTCTTGATATGAATCTGCGAGTTTATTCCAGTGGGATTGGTCTGAAATGAGAATCTGCTTTTTGTTCAGTTGTTATATGTATCACCTATAGTATCCAGATCTAGCCTTCGTGACTGTTCTGCTGAACAGTTTGGTAATGATAATGAGGTTTTATCCCAGCGAAAACCAATTCAAATAGTTGGTTGACAGTCAACTTTGAGAATGCAAATCTCTGTACGAAATTGGAATTTGTGAACCAAGATACTGAAACAATGAGCTGAATAAGAAGAATTTCCAGTGGATTCCAAGATCCATAAAATATTTGTTCTCAGGAAAAAGTTATGATGATGAAACTTTTTGTTTTGTTTACCATTCTCATGGGTACGGGGTTATTATTTCTTCGATACAAACCATTCTGTAGCTTGTGTGTCGACAGCATTCGAACTTGATACTCTGAGATGTTGGTGGATGTGTGTTGAAATTTCAGCATAACAAGATCAATTATTGGTAGTTGGAGCAATTCATTCTACCCAAACAATTTTATCTGTATTTCAATATTCATATAAAATAGTGAAGAAGAAAGCTATAACATATCATTTATCAACAGGGTTTCGATATATGGTACAAAGTTCAAAAATTGATGTACGAGTTATAGACATTACAAAAAAATAAATGTATACTGACTTCTTTACTACACTGAGGGAAACAAATTTTAGCCGTTACTAAAAAATTAGTAACTACAGAAATTTTTTTTAGTACGATAGGGGACAGCAAGCATTAGTTGTTGCCATAACTAATTATGTTTTTCTAGAAACGCCTATTTGCCTCAAATGAAAAGTTTAGTTGAGTCATTTACGACGTTGTTGTGGTAACTAATAAGCCTTTTTAAGGAATAATACCAAGTTTTATTTGCCACAATCAAGATACATAGTTATGACAATTAGATTGTTAGTACTGTTTCAATATATGTTTGTTATCACAACAAATTATCCCAGTTGGGGCAATTACTCATTTCTTCTGACGTTGATAGTGAGTGTGTTGTTGCAAATTAAATATTCAATTGTGACTGAAATGAAATCTATTTACTATTAAAAGTGATTTAGTAACGTTTGAAATATAATATAGTTATTCTGGCAACTTAATAGTTTTATATCAATTGAAATCAAGGCCCCATTCTGATAATAACAGTTTGTATGCGATTTTCCTTCCAATTCCCAATGGAATCGTGAACAGGAATACACCACACACCGTAAGTGCCACAGGCCACAGCTCAGCAAAAAGAGAGGGAATCATAAATTTACACCGTGTACACGTGACGTCGGTTGGACGTTTCTCACCGTCACCCGTCGTAAACTGAACTGAATTGTGAATAGGTACCTAAACCTGATAACTAGTGACGCACAGATAACGATGGTAAACTGCGAATTATTATTTTGCCAACCAAATGCCAAATGGCTCAGCGCGAAGTGCAAAAAAACACAAAACAGTGATTTGAAAACACACAGAGCAGTGAACCAGCAAGAACACAACGCTCCCGGCTACACTAGACAATTATTTTATTTATTTTGTCCAAGCTCGACGACCGTGCGATCTATCCACTATTAAGATACAAGTTCAAATGATGAAACAGAAAGACAAACAGATGCAAGATGCAATTTTTGCCTGTGGGTCCCGAAGAGACGCGAGCAAGTCCCGAACGACGAAGTACAACTAAAATTATTAGTTATGGCTAAACAATTTCTGTTACGAATAATAATAAACCTTTCACGATAAATGTGTCATCAGTTGTGGCAAATAATCAGCTGTTGTTAGTAACCCCAGAATGAGGTTTTTTAACCCCAATACGAAATTTTAATTGACTGAATAGACAACACTGTGATAATTCTGTCACAAATAGTATTTTTATTGATGACAAATAATTCGCGAAAAATAGTAAAGTCATTTGTAGGAAATGAGGATACGTTGTCATTGTTAATAAAATTCCAAATATTTTTAATTATCGGTACTAAAAAAATACCAACTAGACGTTTCAATTAACCAGTTTTTCTCAGTGTGAATAATTCTCAAAGTCATCTCCACGACATTTCAATATAATCAACAGATCAAATTACTTGGTACTTGTTTCGTACATATTATATATGTCTATCCTCAGCCATATCAAATTACTATATTAGGTCGTGATGGGAATGAAAAAAAGGTTGAGTCATACCTACATCTTATCATAAGAATTTACAAAAATGGGCATCATTTTGTTATGCAGGGATATCCCGCAGAGGATTTTCATTGGATGTCTCTACTAGTACATCCTCGATCATCATTATTTATATTTCTAGGAAATAAGATATGGATCATAACAAATGATTTATCAACTTCCATTTCATTAATTTTTGGTTTGCCTAGAGAGATCTTCCTGTAGAAGTTACAACAATGAAACTTCGTATCTGAGTATTCGATGTCTTTCTCCATTGAATGACTACTCCACCAATTATCTCAACTTCTAGGTTATATGATACAGGGTGAATCGAAAAATCAAAAATATCAAAATTTGACATTGAATAACTAACACACTATATAAGATTTTGCGTTCAAATTCCGTATGGGGGTATTCCACCTATGCTTGAATCAAATAGGCTAGTTCCTGTTCCGAAACAGAATTGCCTTACAGTCATTTTTCGAATTTTTATCCCTGCAACAAATAAAAGTAGGCCCTGAAAATCTGAATATTTCAGATTCGTCCACATTTTCGAATAGAGTTCGTTGAGAGTACTATATATAATAGAATTTTTCTTTTTGACAATTGGTCGACGGGTTCCAAATTAGGAGGGTGCTGCGGGTTAAAATCGCACACTCTGTTTATATGTCTGAAACATGTGCCGAGTAATTTGATCTGTTGATTGGATTTAAATGAAAAATCACATCCATATTCAGTAGTTATCATGAATTTATTCTTTTGTTCTGTCTATAACTGGTACCTACATCAAATTTCAAACTTTGTACCATATATCAAGATTGTGTCGTACGATATAGCTTTCTCTTTCACTGTTAGAATCTCATACAGAATACAGACGAACTTTTTTTGGTAAAATTAATTCCTCAAACTACCAATTGTTTTTGTTATGCTGAAATTTGAACACAATCTGTTGAACATTAGTTGATGATTCAACAAGAATTTGTAGTTCCAGTTACATTGTTGCTATGATCTCGAAAGAGTTACTAGCTGATATCACTATATCAGCGTCGTTAGGCATTATCTATATATGGTGTATTAGCTGTATCATCTTGTTAATTCTACATTAATCTATTGTATTTCCATTCATATTCTTTTGATAGACCTACAAGTTCTGATAACCAACGTTGCAATAACGTATTGTTGTTCGTATACTACATCTTAGTGAATTTCTAACAATATTTAATTTTCAATATCCATTGTTGGTTCGAAGATTTGCATGTGGAATGGGTTTCAGTTGAAAAAAAAACATTCTTTATTGCATGAAAATATTACATATCATCATGTGTATATAGCTCACAGAAACTTACAGAAAGAATATTCTGTCATTATCCTAAGCCGCTGTTTATTGTATCTCGAGAGGACTCTGAATTCGTAATATACACAGAACTTGTCCTGTAAATGGAAGAGACAATATTATATCGAATCATACTATTAACTAACATTAGGCATAAGACATGATATTCACCAAATACAAACACCGTGAAAATGGCTGACGAACAATCGCCAATCGGATTACAGAGGAGCCTGGTTGAGAAAAACTTCTAATTGGTCTTTCTGAGAAATGAACATTAAACATTACATATTTATACTGATATATCGAAGATTGGAACCACAAACCAAACCGATTTTTTATACACCTCGACACGTGATTCGCTAACTATGTTATAGCATCTTCAGGGAAAGATTGAAACTACCTATGGTAATCACTTATCACATCATGATTTGTTGTAAACATGTCATTCAATTGTCTATTATTTCCAGTATTCATCTCAATTTCCATTGTTTCAGGTTATTTTGCACTACCATCCATTTACTGTCTGGCATGGATCTGTCTCGATGTCCTCTTCTGTACCGCCTCTATAATGCACCTGTGTACTATCAGCGTGGACAGGTATCTGTCCTTGAGGTATCCCATGAAATTCGGAAGAAACAAGTCCAGGAGGAGAGTTATTCTGAAGATCATCTTCGTGTGGCTTCTGTCGATTGCCATGAGTCTACCCTTGAGCCTGATGTATTCCAAGGTAAATTATATTTCCAATTTTTCCGGATCCCACAAGGGGAAACCTTTAATATGTTAGTTCGGAGAGAAGTGTGTTCCAGGAGTGGATGAAGAGGGAGGTTGGTATTGTATTCCACAAATTTTGGAGGCGAATATTTGCCGGAGCCAAAGATTTGCTCTTATAAGGACCATTTCACTCATCACATAATTGCTTATCGCGAAAACATTTGCTGTCTTTTAATTCTGATTGGTCTAAGGGTTGATATTTTCAACGATGTAACCATGGAATGCAAAGTCTGTCAGTTTGACATGAAATAATTATGGATGTTCTTGTCAGAATGAATCACCCATTTATAATGAATGATATGTATGCTTTGTGAACGTGAAATATAGTCTAGCAAAATACCACTTTGTTCTGAATATCTTCCCACAATTATTCTGTCTTTCATTGTTAACTCAATCATGTTGCGTACAGCAATAAAGCAACATAATTTCGTAAACAATGAAGCGACGAATATTCAGAACATCGTGATATTACTTAGGACAATCAAATTCTGGTAGAATGTTTATCAAGAAATCTCAAGTTTGACTTCATATTAACATGTGACATGGTGTATTTCTGTAAGCATAGAAGGAGGGGTCAGTGCACGACTGACTCGCAATGTATGATTGTTGAACAATCTACTAGCTCTTACACATTTGCACTTCAGCCACTAGATGACTCTGGAGGCTATATCGTTCTCCTGCCCCCTCCGGGCTTCGATTTGTACCCTTCATGAATCGATGGTTAGCTGGCCTAGTGCATCTGATGGAGCTTGGCAAGCCGAAACAGTCTGTATTGCATCAGCAGACAATCGATTCTAGGTTTATCATCACATACACATGTCATCACATTTACATGTGCTAACTGGACATTGAGTTTTAACCAAGATATCAGAAGAACGTTTTGCAAGGAAGTATTTATGGTGGATTGAGAAGTCATTCCACTTCGCGCGAATACTCGAATTACTAAGCAACCGCTAAGTTCGCAATTTTTCATAATCGAATCACAGAATCAGACTGACTGAGTTCAAAAGAATGATGAAGATACAAAAATATGCCTGCAACGCAGTTTTGTCATTCCTTTTAAGAACTTTATTCACATCGATGATTTTCTGATTTTAGTATAATGTAATATCCTTTCAATATTGATTCGTTTCCTTTCCTGTCACAGAAGAAAATAGTGTTTATACACGGGAATAATATTAGAATTTAACTCACGGTTTTTTGTATTCCTCCGCTACGCGTCGGGAGACAACACAACCTCGAGCTACACAAGTTTTTTCCCTTGTATAATGAATAACTATTTTGAGCAATGTATATAGGGATCCATGAATTCACTTACCGTTTAGTTTGATTCAGCAACCAGCTTTTGTAACGCCTATAGGTTCGCAATGGACCTGATATGATTTTTTCATGAAGGAGTATCAGATCTGTGTTATTTCAATTTCCAGAAATGTAAATGGAATAGGAACGATGTTCATTCAAAACATGTTTTTTGTGGGATACCAACCATTATTATTTTGTTATCGAACCATACTTGGTCCACCACCACATAAGCGATCTTGGTTATCTTGCTCATCCATCTATCCCAGCGAGCACAAAAACATCTCAGAGATGTTAAAAGTACGAGATTTCGAGACATTGAACCTCCACTGCGATGTTCTGTTCACACATGAATAGAAACTATTATAGAACAGCCAATGTCCGCCGCAGGCGGCAATTATCGAGATGTCCTTGATATGTTGCAAAACTAGGTACCTTCTCCCTAGTTGTTTTTAAAGCCTTTTCATGGACACAACAAAACATTTTCAACGCGTCTTGCGCACATTGAATCGCTGTAAAAAAACATTTTCGAGGTACTTTTCTGAAGCCTTTTGTCAAAATGAACTTCTGCATCAGGATTCCATTTCCCTTGAATGAAAAAATGCATTAAAAATAGATTGAGCATAAAAATATTTTCTTGATATAAAATTACCTTCTCAATCGGTTTCTGAGTAGTGCTTACTACACACAGACATATAATTGGAAATAGTTTTCCCAATTTCTGAAATGTTCTCCACAATGCATAATCTTGAAACTGATGCGGAGAAGCTGTGTATTGATAAATTCTTACTTTTATATTATATTGATTACACTGAGGCACCGAACAACACATCTTGCATCTGATGGTCATTATTTCAAACTAAATAAGTCTTCTAACACAAAAAACTTCACCGAATTCCTTTCTGTTCGTTAGCAGCGTGATGTAAGCGTGACACGGTGCAAACGCGAATGCCAAATGCGAACAAGAAGAACAAAATCGAAAACAAATCAGAATTCATCGTATTGTGACGTAAAAGCATATGAGACGTTGTGGTGGGGCAAACGAAGTAAGGGCACAAAAGAACAAAAACAATAGTTTCAATATCCTTCTAAGACCTCTTTGGGAAGTGCATATTACGCCTCAAAAAAACATCCTCATGCCTACATTTCTAAAACATCCCAAAACATCCCAGGGATACCTCTCAGTAGGCAAACAAAGAAATGCCACAGAAGAATAAAAACAATACTTCATATCCTTCAAAGACTTCTTTGGTCAGTGCATATAACGTCTCAAAATAACATATCCATGCCAACATTTTCAAAACATCCCCAAACATCCCAGGGATGTTTGTGCTCGCTGGGATTGGAGCTCACAAAAAGAAATTACAATAACAGACTAGCCATGTAATGACAGATTTTTGCAACGTTTTTTCAATGTATGCATCTCACAAATAATGACTTTGAGGTTTTCAACATGCCCTAGATAATATCAATTTGTCCTCGCATGCAGCGACGTTACCAATCAATTTTGAATTTCCATTGAAAATTGATGATTTTGAACGATAAGTAAATGCATGTGAATTGGTTTTATTTGAAATTTGAAAAAAATTATACCTTGGTGAAAATTTGCATACGACGCACTGGTGTAGGAAGTCCTGGAATTAATAACTTTGATATGTGATGAAGAAGGGGCTATTGTTGAACAATTATTGAACGTATGCTTTTGCGAATATTGTGACTTATATCACGATTTACGACTTTGGGTGACTTTGCATACAATTGTGAAGTGAGTGCGCATGGTCAGTATAGTAATTTTTATAACCCGCGCTGTTTTCATAATCACATGTTTAAAATATCACCACAGAGCATGTTCACGCCACGGTTGTATGCAAAGAAGAAGAATTGTTCAACATTAGCCCCACTTTATAACATGTTCCACTGATAATTTCGGTACTTTCTATACCAGGGCAGCGTATGCAAATTCTTTCCGTGGTACCCATATCATTTTTAGATATCAACAAGGAAAAATTTGCATGTATTTAAAAATCGTTCAAAATCATCAATTTTTAATGAAAATTCAAACATGCGCGAAGTACCTACAGTTTTACTTCACGCATTGTTTTGTGCAAGGTATCATGGTAACGTAGGAACCTGTTATTGTTATAAATGCGCGAACCTTGTAATTTTTTGACGTTTGTAGAACAAATACATTATTTGAAGAAATATGAAAATATACTGATGACACGTCAGTAATTATTCACGCAACTAATTTGATATAACTAGAGACTAAAGCAAATATATTCATCAAACAATACAAATTGTGGTGTCACAAGAATTCTTTGATCATGAATGTGAAAAAAAAATGGTATTTATGACTGTTTCATTGATTGAAACAAATATTCTACCAAATATTCGTCATATTGAAACCAGCGACCATGTCAAATTTCTTGGAACAATTATTATCGATAGCAATCTGACCTTCCATATAGAGAAATAGACTCGATATGCTCTAAACTTGCCAAAAATACGTTCGCTTCTATACACTCGAAGAAAGAATTTAATCAACGTGATCTGAGAATATGTTATTTTTCACTTGACTACTCATTTCTTAGTTATGATATAATAGTATGGGGCCAATCCACTGAAATAGACAGAGTCTTGGTACTGCAAAAAATTATTTTAAGAATCATATACAACTTGCAGTATAGAGAATCTTGTAGAAAAACTGCAAAGAAACAGAAAATACTTACTGCATGCTTCATTCACAAAAATAAAACTCTACCAGAACCGCATTATGTGCTGTGAACTTAATTTATGATAAACTGCCGTTCGAAATCAAATCAGCGGCAATTTTCAATATTTTCAGAAAAACATTGCAAACATTTCTAGTTGGACAAAAGCTTCCATAACCTCAATGAAATCTTAGCAACATAGTAATATTCTCATTGAGAAGAGAGAGATACCGGGTGTTTATTTTTGTAGTTTTTGTCTGTGTGTCTGTTGGGCATGGAGAATGTGCGATATTACTTGAAAATGATTATTTTATTTATTCATTTATTTATACATATATGTATAGTTTTAGTTTTAGCTTTAGTGACAAAACCTTGTGTTTCTTGTAGCACGCGTTAATGGCAAATAAAGATCCATCTATATCGGCCTACCAAGTTCAGCTGATTATGGTGGCAAATAATAAAATGATGAAAACAATAATGAATAATTTTTGGAATCGTCGGAAGAATTCACTAGTTCAGTGAAAAGTTCAAAAGATAATCAATCTTCTTTATAATTGATGAGATATTAGGTTGTGCAATTTCAACATATTCTTTTTTCACCGGGATGTAACAAATGGTTATTGGTTTCAGGATCAAGGTTCCCTGATAGTTGATGGTACCTGCCAAATTCCAGATCCACTGTACAAATTCATAGGGTCAATTATCTGTTTCTATATTCCGTTGCTGGTGATGTTGGTGACATATGCATTGACTGTCAGTCTGCTAGCCAACCAGAAGCAAAATTTGGGAACTCCGGACTGGTCCAGTAACTGGATGGGAGGACCCACCACAACACCACTAGGTAGGTGCGAGAAGAATAGGATGATGAAATAGAGCCACTTATGCACAATAGTGTCAAAAGAGTTGCTCGTTCCTAGAGGGTGTGTCAGATTGCTCTGACTCATGATACCTACAAACATAATTATTAGAAAATGAATGTAAACTATCTAGATAAAAAGTAGTGCAACTAGCGATCATCTACATGTTAATCGGCATATCTTGCAGTTGATGAGTTATGAATAGAAAATATGTATACGTTGAATAACCTCATAGCATTGAGGTAGAAACCTATATTTACAGGGCCCGGTAATAGCGCACCAGAGCGTTACCACCGATACAACAAGTCCTGCATGCTCCGTGGGTGACGTCACTTAGTGAGGCCTAACCAACGGCTCGAAACGACAAGCGCTTATAGTGCTATGAGGCGACCGCGTATTTCGATTTTAGTTTTAGCAGATTTTGCTGTTTTTTGAAGGGTTTCCGGTTGAAAAAGGATGCCAGTCGTCAACTGAGCCCTTCTTCGCACCCCATTCGATTTTTTTTATGGAAAAACGAAGTTATAAAGCAAAAACCAGGATAAAACACAAATATCCACCTACAGCAACCCATTCGAATTAAATATATTGGCAAAAATTGTGGTGAAGGTAAACTTCACACCTACTTATACAGGGCCCGCAGAACATAAACTTATCGTGAGATTGAACGAAAGAAAATTGTGGAAAATGTATTTTATTTTGATTGACATGCCGTTTGTTACAATTAACTATATTTATCTTGGGGAATTCCTATTACCTGAAAAAATAACCAGTGAGTGTTTTCAATTTTCTGTTGTTGGATTTTTCACCCAAGTGGATCGTTACACTTGAAACCGTGATTTTTAAGGGTGAAACTGCATTTATCATTCGATGATTTTTTTTTGAAGATTTCTTTCGGTACTCACGTATTTTTGTCTTATAAACCGAATTTTATAATGAAATTGTGAACAAACAACTATTTATTGAGATATTTCAAGAAAAAATTCGAAATTTCGCCTTCTTTCTCCCCTTGTGTTGGGGGCATTTGAAGCTACTTGCTCTTATTTTGTCATTGGACACTTTATATACTCATAATGTACTTCGATGGCACATTTTTATATAGAAAATTCAAAAGGAAATTTGATTTTTATGGCGAGTTTTTCATATTTAGTGAACAAGCATTCCAGATGACGACCATTTAATCAATAGTCAATCAAAATACGAGATGTCAAATGCTTTCGAATGACATTACACACGCCATTATTTTGAATGATATTCTTCCTTCTTCTCACTAAATATGGATTAATCTCAATAAAATCATATTTATAGTTGAATTATATATAAATTGTCCAATATGATGAAAAAAGAAGGGAAATTTGTTCTAAAAGCCATCCAGAAGACAGGTGAAAAAGAAGGTGAAATTTGGAACTTTTTAGTCAAATATCTTCATGATAAATATCATGATGAATGCAGTTTTACCTTTTTGAGTAGAGTGTTTGTAGTTCATGTTAATATGATAGTTGCAATTTGATCATTGGAATGAATTCTGCATTCATTGCCACGAGGCAAATCACCGTTTTCAGACAGAAATTTGAGAATGAGAATTAAAAATGCCCGTTAATTATGAACATTCAAGAAAATTGCCTCGAATTCAGAGATGATTTTGTTGACTATAATATACGAATACAAAACTAACTACACAATCAAAGCTTTTCTATTTTTCCTCTACTCATACTTTTTATGAGAGAGTAATTGTCTTCTATTATTAATTCATGATTATAAATTGAGCTCTGTTTACTACTGAACTTAGATGGAGTAAAATCCTCGCGGTGAATTGCATATACCCACATTTTCCATAGCTCCTCGTCCAACGGGAAACTAAAAGCATGAACTTTTGAACCACCCACATAATTCCCCCGACAAAAGGGAACACAACACGTGAAAGGCATTGTTATTTCGCCGATCACAACACGAAATATTTCACGAAACAGTAATTTTTCCGCCAATTATTTTGATGAATGAACAACAAAAGAATTCGGGACCGTTTCAAAAACATACGTGAATCACCGATGAATTAACACGAACTGACGCGTTAGTCGACAAGCGATAAAATAAAACACTGGCCTCTCTTGGTGACGTCACGAGCTGTTTACGTCAGAGTCTGCTGGCCTTGTTGTATCGGTGATAATGACCAGAGTCCGATTGCACGAATCCTATAGTAGCAAGAAATTTGAATCTACAAGGAAAATGAACTACGGATGTCATAATATGAAAACATTGGATAATGCCCATTGCCGCAACGGTATCTGTGACATTGGGCATCTCTCTGAATAACATCACAAACTAACAATGTAGTAGAACATTCATGTTTGAGTTATGTTTCCATGTTCAGTGCGGGTATGAGCTCCAGCTTATCGTCCTATCTTCAAGATCAGATGATAACAAACGTTTTCGAATATTGGTATCTGCTGGAAATCCTGAAGATCAATTTGGAGAATGGTGTTTTGAACGAATTTGTACTCAGATTGAGAATTCAGGGATCATTTCTGGCATATGTATAAGTGTAGGAATGTTTTAGTATGAGGAAGCTTTATGTTCAGGTCCTGAATTCTAGTATTATTTCATGATAACATTAACATTACCCTAACCTAAATATGCCCTCGATTCACATGGGTCAAGACACAGCATATTTTTGAGGAAGAAGACGGAAAAACGCGTTTTTGTTCATCTGATGGTTTTAAAACTACCCCAGAATTGTTTCGGACCGAATTTGATGCGCACCTGATTCTGTGCAGTCCAAGGACCGTTCGAATAATTTGGATCACGAACGAACCTTAGATTTGGATTAGATTTGGAATGGGGCCTTCGGGCTATCTGCCTCCACACTGCGACCTTTTCAGATCTATTGTGTCTGCCCTCAAAATCGATTAGAGTTCTTCGGCTAGCCCCGCCTTCTCTATGAGACTCCATAGGCTAGCTTTCAGATCTCCTCTGTGTATCTCTGGGCTCCTGGTTTTTCCTCACCCAGCCTAAGGAACCTTAGTCTTGACAAGCCCTCACAGTGACAAAGTATGTGTACTGCTGTTTCTTCCTCTTCTTGACAGAACCTGCACAGCAGTTCTTCAGTCAGACCTATCGTACTCATGTGTTTGTTGAGCCTACAATGCCCTGTGAGAAGTCCCACTAGTATTCTAGTTGATCTTCGTTTCTGGCTTAGTAGATATTCTGTGAATGTTGGCGATGGTTTTTTAATAAACTCTTTAGCCTGTCTCATTCCTGGCGAGTTGTTCCACCATTCTTGAGATTTGGTTTGCATCCATGATTTGATACTAGTCTTTTGTATAGCTTTCGCAATACCACAGAAGGGTTCTGGGCCATTAAGAGCTTTGTTTGCTCCTGCTCGGGCAAGTGAGTCTGCCTCTTCATTGCCCTCGTACCCTGTGTGTGCTGGTACCCATGCTAGAGTCAACGAACGAACCTTATATAAACTTGTGTGCGGAAATGCTTCGTGTCATAGATATAGGGTGTTGAACTTCCCTTTTTTTGTTCACATTTTGAAGATATCTCCCGCGAAGAATAAGTTATTTGCACATAATTTGGTACCCGGTTTATTTTTGACGTGGGAATTCATAATTTTGTATTAATTTCCATGTAACATTCAGATGACGCTGCGTACGCTGTCATTATTCATTTCAAATTGCCCTAACATCCTTCAGAGTGAACTTTTGGTGCATTTCATGACAAAACTTCATTCCCACAACCTTCCCAAGTGGAAAAAGTACACTTTCTCAACAACGCTGGAGGTGCGATCGTTTTCGAGATATTTACAATTTTCTATATCGATGCATGTGTAATGAAGTGTTTTTGACCAGCTTCATTACTAGACTGGTTTTGATCAAAATCTAAGTACCTGAGCCTGATTCTAGTTGAATTTCACCTGTTCGAAAGCTCGAAACCTGAAAACCTGAGAGAGCTGAGTAATGCATTGATTCCTGACTTCACAAAGCTTTTCCTGATAGTAAACTCTCATGAACATCATTACAACCCTAAAGACTTCCATATTTTTCAACCCTTTGCTCATGATATGAAATTTGATTGGATTATTTATCAGTTGAAATGATGAATGTTTGACTGCTCATAACTTTGTTGTTATTGGATATTTTCCAGCCAAATTCATTCAGTAGCATAAGCAAAGGTAGTAGATTCTGTTCCTGTGCCCATTTAGGGTGTAATATTATTTTTTCCGCGTTTTGTGTTGGAGGTGCACATGTGCTTTTCAAGGACAGATTCAGTGGCCATGGCCATGAGCCATGACAAGGTGGGAGTTTTGACCAATGAGATTCCAGATTTACTTGTCCTTGTGCCAAGGCCAAAGCAGTGCATAAATACTGAAGACAGCCAAGGATTCGAAACTCTCTAAGCTCTTCTTGACAAGTCTACACTACCTGATCGCCGTTGCTCTTCAAGCTCCTGATTCTCTAGCTGATCTTTTAGTGCTCTCATTTCATTCAAAACCAGTGTAAAATAGTATTGTATAGTGATTTCCTGTTACACATGTAAGTTTGTATATTTTTCACCAGTGTTATTCATCCTGTTTATAGCCTCATTTCATTCCTGTTGTTTTTCACACCGATACTCACCCGACCTGTGTAAAGAATCCAGAACTCTAAATTGAATAAACGGATTTTGTGATTGCATATTTCATATTTCCTTCGATTCTCTGTTGTCATTGTTTTCAGTTCCAAATAGTTCAATAATTTATTTAGTGATTTTCAATATTTTCATTTGTCAAAATTGCAGAATATTATTAATGACTGACGACTGACACTGACAAGCCAGTTAACAACTCTTCTTCTTCTTTTCCTTGAGAAATCCAGTCCTGTGCACCGGTGTCTCTGTGCTTTGTATCCCGTCAGGCGGTGTTCTATGTTTCATGAACTATTGACATTAATGGAAAAATATAATTAATTAACCTCACTAAAAATCCGATATTAGAAAATTAGAAAAATCGAAGGAAAAGAAAAGATAAATAGAAATTGA